CAAACTCTAACTTCTGTCATTGCTCTAATTCTTTATGGCTCCAATACCCTCTATTAATAATTAATACATTTAGACTGAAAATGAGAATTAAATTTCTAAGCATGAACACGGTTAAACTTTGAAATAACTGATAAGGTTTGTAGCGGGACAAAGGAAACAAATAGTTTTAAGATGGAATTGATTTTGTGTATGAAATTTCTGCATCCAAAATTAAGATGATTTTCTCAGATATTATCTGATCCTTAAGGTCTCCCAGAAAACCTTTTGATTTCTGTTTCTGTGACCCCTTTTTTGGGCAATGATACAGGTCCCCTTCAGAAAGGGGGACAAAGAGGGAGAAGGGTAGTTGGAAGGGGAGAGGGTTTTATGTCAGCTGTCAGTTTTTTCTGGTGTATACATGTGTTTACTTCAGAAGTTAACTGATATTAGGAGTTAATATCAGTTCTCCTTTTGAGAGGAGCAGAAAGGTGCTGCCATGTGGGCATGCAGGGAGAAACGGAGGGTAACTTGCATGATAGGGGTTGCAATCCATGATACTTCAGGTTCTTTTTACATGGATTATTAATGTAAAATACATGACTGTTTTTACCGGGCTGAAATCAAAACAGTCTTTTTAAAGCTAAAAAAGCTAAATTTTGACCTAACTCCTTCAGTTAACCAAAATATCACCACCTGTAGTTTGCATTTCCATGTTTTTGTATAATCCTAAAAGTAACGTCTTTTTAAAAAAAAAAAAAAAAAAAAAAAACCTAAAATATCGTGAGCCTAAGTAACTAAACATGATTTGATTTTTTTTTTTTTTTTGTAAGTCAAACAGCACTTAAACTATTTTGTATTTCACAAATGAGTTAGGGGTTAATCAGATACTTAAAGATTCTTTGGCCTGTCTCTTTCAGAGAAAAATACCCATGACTTTATAAGGCAAGATGAGAAAAGGGAATTAGCAGAAGAATAATAACCCTGTTTTTAAGTTGTTTGATGTACGTAGGAATGGTGAAGTTTTACAATTATGCTTAGTCTAAAATAACTTGAAATACTGAGCATTAAGTTGTTTGTTAGCTTTTGGAGCAATAATGATGGAAAAGAGAGAAGTAAATGTTTTGCTCAAACAAATCTTTTCTCCCAATAAGTGAGGGAGTATTTTTACAAAGTTTCTGTAGCAATGTAGTTGATAGGATGTGACTTCTGTTTAAATATAGAGTAGTGTGGTATTGAGTGACTTGACAGAACGTAATTATTTAATCTGGGAGAGAGACTCTCACCTCTAGAAACTGCCCTCTTACCTTTATATTCTTTATATAAATTGTCAGCAGGGAAGATGGTATGTGTATTGTATGAACTGATGCTAAAGAGTGAGACGGTGGTAGGTGATGGGGGTCTGGTTTTGCTTTTATTTTAAAACTTAGTAATGGATTACTTTTCCCCTCCTCCCCCCACCCTAAGGGGGCAGAACCTCGGAATCGCCACACTCTGTTTTCTCAATTATTACTGGTCTTGGTGGACATGATACTGACTTGAGGCAGCAAGATGTATCCGACCCTGCTGTTACTGACACACATGGCCTCATTAAACTGCTTTTAGAAACACTAGCTAGTGCAGGACACTTGGATTCATCGCTGGCACGGTCTGTAAATCAAGCTTTAGGATTAAGCACTGATGAAATTGAAGAGGATATGAGACAAAAATATGAATATGAATCCATTCCAGCACAGGACAAAGATGATCATGAGCTTCCTAATACTGCTCAGGCTGAAAATGTTAACTTTAAGGACCCACAGAGCCCACTGATACTGGACACTGATGGAGCATGCTTACCCTACCCTGCTGATGTTGATCTACGGCTTTCAGCTAATGAAGTAGGCCTTGAACACACGCTACGTTTAAAAGTAAGTGAAACTGCCATGTAGGTAGATGCTGGTAATGAATATGCTATTTTCATAAATATTATCAGAATCAATGAAAAAATGCTTCTAATTGTTGGATCCAAAAAATATAGACAAGTACTAATTTTTCTGTGAAGAATCTCTTGCTTGATGGGGTTGTATACAGAAAATACTTAGTGGTTTTTTTAACTCTGAAAGATGCGTGTTCCTGGTTCTTCATCTTTCAGTAAGAAATTTTAATTAATATCAGAAAGATGTAAAGCGAACATGGCCAGTCTTCTGCACTCAGCTTTTCACTACCTGTCATATCCGGTGCTGTAGCAATAGGCAGCAAAACTTTACCTGATTCTGTTACTGAATGTGGTATATCATATGCTTTACATGTTTGCTGAGACCAAAGCCTTGAAGTTTTTTTTTTCCTGCCTCTTGTAAAAACCAGATATTCTGGCTCTCACCTTGCTTACCAGGTTGTTGAATGGAACAGTTAAGTGTACCTATAAAGGAGTTTGCATATTGCCTTCCTGTCGTCTTCCATCTTTTGGGGTTTCTTGATCTGGCTAGGGTATTGGGGATTCCTGAACCTGGAACCAAGTAAGGAGACGTTTGAGAGCCTCAGGCTCATCATAGTTAAATTGCCTAGCTGTTACTTTTCTGGAAAATGGAATGTAAGGCAGAAGGAGCTGCTGTTCCATATGGACCCTCTCATGGTAATGGCACTAGGACAGGCCATTCATGATTGATTGTGTACTGTTTCTCTAGAATTTCCCCTCTTTCTCTTAATTTTATAGAGCTGATACAGAGGTGGTTTGGCTATGACAGACTCGTCATTGTGATGATGTCCCATCTCAGTCACAAAAAAAGCATATGTTCTTCTTTCTTTTGTTTGGAACTATTCTATGGATCAGGCTCCTGCCAGTTAAGATAATCTTATTCAAAGTCTATAAGCCTAGAATTCTTCCCTCTCCTTCCCACAAAATGCAAACCAAAAATAAATATATCAGTAACAGGCAGTATAATTTCAAGACCTTTTTCAGCCTGCTGCTTTCTTGGTCATAAGCAAGAAAGTGGAGGAAGTGAAATTGCATTCTATACTTGATGTTTAGAGTTAGCTGGCAGTGACTTAAACAAGCATCTTTCATGCACAGTTGAGCAACGGTCGTTCTAAAGCAGAATGAGAGCTGGGGCTTCCTTTTAATGATAGCTGTCTGTTTTGTCTTGACAGAGCAGATCGGCCAAACTAAGCCAATTATGGTATCACTTACAGCTCGGTGTGTGTGGTGGGGGGGGGGGGAGGTGTGGTTAGCAACAGCTCACCCTGGCTGACTGAATTTCTTTGTGCGACTTAGTGACCTTTTCTGGTACTTCAGGGTTAATAAAGTGATTCTTCCTGCTTTATAACCTTAAAGCACTAAGCATGCTTTTGCTCTGATTGCAGTCCCTGCTTCAGTTTTGGAAATTCCTCTTGGCCCACCCTCTCCGTAGTGTACTCTCTCCCGTACAAAGCAAAAAGGAGCAGGCATTTTACAGGGCTGGGAAGTGCCATTCACTTGTATGCAGAAGTGAGGATCTCGCAATCCTTACCTGTCAGTCTCGCGAAGAGGAAAAAATGATGCGCTTGTTTCAGCATCTGAATGAGAAAGAATTAATGAAATACGCATAGCAGAAGGTCTTTCATGCTGTATGAATATTAAAGTTGATGGGGAGGTGGAATTGGCCTTGTTTTGCCATTGTTTGAGTTGGTGTCATTTTGGGTTTTATTTATTTATTTTAGTTGGGAGCACAGTTGAACAATCCTTAACAATTAAAATCTTGCCTACCTCTCTGCGCCTGCTTTGTGCAGTGGTGTGGAGTAGGCATGTCCCATGCATACTTTTCATGATAGCATGTAATTGTCAGAATATCGTTTCAAGAAAGCTGTTGTGCTTAGGGCTCAGAGTGCCCCATGCCCCAGCTGTCTGGCAATGTTCACATTACTCTACAGAACAGGTTCTTTTATGGTCTCTGAAATTGGTACTTCTACATTAAGTCCCGTTTCTAAGTTAACTGAGCAGGAAAGAGTCTGTACTACCCGTAAGTTATGCTTTCTGCTAAGAGAACTTTTAAGCATCTGGAATTCCCGATGAAATTGGATTGTTCAAGGATTTAATACTAGTTACAGGCAGTTTCTCAATAACGCCACCGTTTCCTAGCTTTAGACAGCTGTGAAGAAACAGCCTGAAAAAAGGCTAAGCAACAGACCATCTCCCTAAATTATCTTTCCCTCTTCTCTGCCCCTCCTGACCTGCCCTGCCAGATGGCCGTTCTCTACGGCATGTGCCTTAGGACTGCCTTAGGACTTAGTTATAGACCATCAACAAAGATGTCTGTGTCAGAAATTATCAAATAGGTAAATAAAATACGGAAGTACCTGATTTAAATACTTCTAACTTTGACTTGATTTGGCTGAAGGCAAAGATTCCATTATACTGGTGAACTCTGGCACATGCTTATTGTTCAGCTGTGTAGTATTTGAAAGTTTGATAACTAAATAAGCACAGCCAGCTTTGAACTGAGAATTTTTATTGTTTTTAGGAAGCAAGCACTGGAAGTGTTAGCAGTTTTGAAGACTGCAGTCCCTGTCCTAGTACGCCTATAGAACATGCTTATCGCAGGCAACATTCCAACTCAAATAACATAGGAGAAGTTGGAATGCACTGGAAACTTATTCCAATTACAGGTAAGATGGATTAATAACTCTTATGTTGCTGCAAACAGTGAAACAAACCATGTTCTGAAGGTTTGTATCTTCCGTAGATCCCATTCTTGGGTCACATGTGTTGGTGGTACACAAGTATATGATGTCCTGTGCAGTTGTTTCTAATATTTGACTAATATAGAAATCTGCTGGATGAAAACATTCCAGGTACTGGTGGATAAGTTTTGCTTTTGGTACATATTGGCATTATTTAGAAATATGGGTACTTGAGTATTTATCTGGTAAGGTATGCAACTGTTTTGAATTCAGTGTTTGAACTTGACAATCTCTCAGGATAATTGCAACTACTAATTTGGAAAAGTCATGGGAAAAAAGTGTTATCCTTATACCAAGTAGTCCACTTCTTACTAATGGTCTTTGTCTTTATTTAAACATTGAAATCTTAAATAATATTATTTAAAAAAGCTTCTCCTTCTACTTCTTGATGAGTCAACAGTATCAATTCTTGGGAAAACTCAACAGCATGGATTTGAAGGGTGTGGAAACCGGGTGGTAGGAGTAGTCATCGGGACCTCTGAATTCAAGGCTGGAAATCAAGTCCTCTTATGACTAATCCAAGACAGAATGGGTTGAGTGCACATTCTGAGTAAAAAGTTATTAATTTCTGATAATCTTTGAGGAATACTGGAATCTGTCTTTTAGACTCTTCTGATATCCATCCTGTTGTGTAGTTCTGCAGATTTTATTTTATTTTTTTTTTCTCGACTGACAGGGGAGGAGGGCAGGGGAAATGCATTTCCCTCCATAATATTCATAGAACTTTCAAAGAAATGATAGGGAAATTTTGGATCACGTCTTCTGCAGCTTCTTAGTGTTAAACATCAAAAATCTGTTGTCATGTGGCTAAGTAACAGACTGTAAAGTTGTTTGGATAGAACACACTTCTTTTGCTCTTGGAGGAAATGGCCACTGTGCATATAGACAGACGAGGATATGGTTGCAGAGGTAACAGGCAAAGTGGATGATTAGGAAGCTCAAACATTCACATCCTAGACATAGGATATAGGAGTTAACGCAAGGGTTTGTCCGTTGACTGTTGACACTTTTTACAGTCATCTGTGACGCTTTAGCACTTCACGAATCTTACTAGAAAAATAAAATTGTCTCTGAAGTCTTCTGAAGTCTGCTGTTCTCCAGAGATGTAAGAGGCTGTCTTGGGCATCACTGGATTTCTTAAGTTTCTAGGAGGTCCGTTCTTCAAATTTAGCTCTTACTGCAGTGAGTAGTGACTAGTTCTGTAATGTGGTCATGTAAAAGGTGCTATAAATACGGAGAAAGTCTACAAATGCTAACTGCTGCTCTCCTTCAGGAGGGGCAGGAAGAGGTCAAGAGGATCAGCTGGAAAAACATGAAGATAAGCGAACAGGTGAGAAGAGCGGATATTTTTTTGCATGTGTCATTATGGCCTAAACTACTGAGCAGCTTGTATTCTCATCCAGTATTGAATTTTCATCAGAAAACTTAGGATGAGATCAATAATATGCTATGCAGTGAATGAATTCATTTTACGGAAGTGCATCAAGAAGGCAACAGGAGAGTCAAAAGAGCCTTTAAAGTTTTGGGCTACTGGCACTTGATTTTTATTGGGCGTTATCTTCCCGTATCTTCAAGAGGCCTTTGAATTTTCATTCTAAGAAATTAAGATCAATTCAGTAGTATAATTTAAAGGAAGTTGTTGTTCCTTTCTGAAACTGATGGCTTTGTACATCTGCTGACTTGCCCATGTGTCTTTGTTGTAGCAAGGTAGCTGTAGAAAGACACTCAGGGAACATCAGCCTTACTTTTCCATCTTTACACAACTGCAGGAAGGCAAATTAGCATGCCCGTTTTCTTTTCTTTTCTTTTCTTTTCTTTTTTTTAAACAGAAATACGTTCTACTTTTGATTCAGAGGTCGTGTTCAGCTGAACTTACTCTAAGAACTTAAACTCTTTGTAGCTTGTGGCTTGAGGGTTGGGGGGCTCATCTCGTTTCTCCCCTGATACGCCTCAGAAGGGGTCAGAGGAGTTGTTCGTAGGTCCCCAACTCATCTGGACTAGTTCTGTGTCATGTCATTGCTCGTTTTTTCATGGTTACGTATTCTAAACTTCTGACAATAGTAAGCAAACCTGAGTTGTACTTTTACAAGCTAACTTGTGCACGTGCATCTTAGCAAACACATCCTAACTCAAGTTTGTTTTGAATTTGAGAGTGATCTTTGGCTTTAGACATCCAGTCCAAAAATGGTGTTTGTTCTTGCATGTTCTTCTTCCTCATGTAAGAGGAGATTAATGCATTAATAAACATTCTTAAAAGTGATGGCTTTTGATGACATTCATCTTGCATACTAAGAAACAGGATGTTCTAGGCTTTCTTGTCAGGTATTACTTTAATTTCTGATTTCAAAATAAACATACCTAAGAATTCTCTTTCTGGCTGGAGTCACTGTAGAAAGACCTCTCTTAAAAGCATTGAAGAATTTGACCCTAAATCTGCAATGCTAATAACTTTTTTTTTTTTTTTTAAACAACTGTTAAATAGCTTTTCTTTCCAAGATTGTTTTCAGGTAGTCCTTTTCCTAACTTCTCTGACACACTTGGTTAGTCAGGTATTACTGAGGAAGAATATATTCGAAATCATACATTGTGCTTTAATACTTGAACGTTTTTTTTGTTTCCCCTCTCCTTGCTGATGCATTTGGTTTTCTGTGAAGACTTGTGACCCAAAGGTATAGATCTATGAAGGATACCACCTTAAATAATTTTATTTAAATAATGGTGATTCTAGTCTAATCTTTCTTTTTTTTCCCCGCAGTCCTGCTTTTTAAGTGTTAGATAATATTTCGGATTTTTATTCTCATTCAGCAGTATAACCTTCTATTTCAGTTCTGTGTTACGTTTTTACTATAGGTTTTTTTTTTTTTTTAAGTGATGTTTCTTTCTTGCTGGACAGTTTTGTATCCACAAGCATAATGTCATCAGTCTGGTATGTGTTCTTACTCATATAAATCATTAAGACTTTTTCCTAATATAGTAGTTGCACCAATTTCCTCTCAAAACAGCATGAGTGGATTGTGCGTTACCTCTTTGGGATTAACTTTGGGATTTGAAAAATTCACCTGTATTGGGTGTGCAGACAGGAGAGCCCTAGAACAAAATTTCATTGCTTAAAAGTTGGTATGTAACTGAGTAGCTGTATTGAAAACGTAAGAAGTTATATAAAAAATATCCCCAAATGTAAAGCAACAGTATAGCTTTCAGTCTGCTCTCCTAAGAGTTGCTTGTAGTACAATAATACAGTATTTCTTGAAAACAATAGTGATGTAGCTTATAATTGTTAAGCAGCTCATTCTCAAGTCCCCTGTATCTCAAACTAGCTTAAACTGAGTTTACTCTGTTAACGTTATGATTTGGTGCTGAGTTCCTCTAAGTCTTTTAAAACTAATGTACTTGAGTATGCGAAAGGTATAGGTCAACAGTGAAGGGACAGAGCAACAGAAAACCAGGTTCAAAATAAAATAAATTGAACTGATTGGAATGACCTGATTTATCTCCGCTTTTAAAGAACACTAGCGGTTTAGTTTGGCTTGATGAACGTGTTTTGGGGGGATGAAGAAAGAACACTTACTCTCTTTGATAAGGAAAACCAAAATAACTTGGCACCACATTTCTGGTTTCTCTCTAGTGGTATAAAATAGCTACAAGCTGACACCGTGACCCCGAAACGGGGGTTCTGTTAGTGGCAGGTTTCTTCCCTTTAGATATGGATGAATGTGCTCAAATCAGGAAAAAGTATAACTTTTAAAACTGATTACAGAAAAATAACTGCGTTTCTAAGGAACCCTAACTTTTTGAAATTGTATTATACTGCATGGTTATTGTTTCTGTTCCAGAAATCTTTCGTTTTTCTGCCTAGAACTGTTTTAGCTGTAACAGTAACACAAGATTTTTTGAATATCTCTTTTGAAGTAGCAAAGTATTTATGAAACAGATATATGCAGAAGTACCGCTATATATATATGAAATATCTGTGTATATACAGATACAGACTCTAAAACCTTCACAGTATGGAGGTCATTAGGTGTTAAATTTGTTTTAAAAAAAAAGTCACAAAGGTTCGAAAGCGGACGGTAAAACAACTGACTATTGCGGAAATGATCGCTGAGGTATGGGAGGCTTTCAGCACTCCTTACAGCATACCTGATACTGTGGATCAGTAATTATGAGGCAACTGCTGTTGTGGTTAATCAGTTGTTATCCCTGGGGAAATTACTTGCATTCTGCTTTTCTGAGTACACTTCAAATGTATTGCTATATGGTCTGAGAGATTAAATTTTCTAGCTTCTGACCATCAGCTGACTGTAACGCTTGATTTTTTTTTTTTTTTTTTTTGGATATAAGTTGATTGTGGGAGGGGACAAGACTACGCTATTTAAAAACTGTATTTTGGAGTTTTTTGTTCAGCAATGGTATATCACTGAGTCTTTTTCAAACATGAGATGATGATGATGATTAACTCTTCCTTATATAGGTCTGAAATCACCAGAAGAACCACTGGTGTATTTACCACCAAAGGATGCCTTTCCTAATGACCCCCGGGTAATAAATAGACAGAGAAGTTCTGATTATCAGTTTCCGTACTCTCCATTTGCAGACACACAAAAGGGGACAGCAGAAGATGGACTTTATACAAGACAAGTGGAAAAACTTGAAGATCAGTGTGGGCTAACAGAGCACCCTTTTACAACTAAGCATTCAATAAGTGCAATAATAGAGACTACGCTATTAGAAGAATATAATCTCTTTGCAAGAAAGATTCAGGAAATTTTGCAGCAAAAGAACATTGCATATGTCAGTGGGATGTCCACACCCATCCTCTCGGCTCGAGAGAGGATAATGAGACTTTCTGAATACACAGATTTACAGGCACCAGAGATTTCTGTCAAAGAATATATAGAGAGACTGAGTGAGAAGTTGAATAGTGTTATTTTATCCTCCTCATGCAATAGGCATACTCCACCAATGTATTCTGGTTCTGAAGCACCAGATGTAGTTAATAACGCTGCACCGAATCCTCCACCAGAAGTGTTGCCTGCCTGCAGGGACTTGGACACGGCATTATCATCAGAGCTGTTGTGTAATAGTATTGTGGAGGATCTAGAGGCTGATGAGCAGCGTTCATCAAGCTTGCCCTTAGTGAAAGAGGAATTAGATCACGTGAACGCCAAAACAGAGGATGAATTGACATCTGATCAAGCGTCTTCCAGTGGTGATCTTATAGAGCCACTAGAAAAGACTGAGAAATCTCCAGAGAACTTGAGCATTTCAACCCAACCAGCCCTTTCTGACTTTATAAGCCAGTTAAAACCTGAAGTATTTAACAGTTTGGTCAAAATTATTAAAGATGTACAGAAAAACACTGTGAAATTTTATATTCATGAAGAAGAGGAAAGCACTCTCTGCAAAGAAATCAAGGTAAACGTGTTCCAATGCATCTTCTTCCCTTAGTGTTAAAATATAAGGCTATGCAAGGTCTTTCAAACCAGAATGTACAAAACTGGCCTTGCGAACACAGTCAGAAAATGTGTTCCAAAAGAAGGTTTTTGATTGAATGGCCAGAGTAGGCTTTCCTTTTTCATTTTTAGAGGTCGCTGTCCTTACGTATTTAAATGTAGAAGATTAAAGTTGAAAGTGAAATGATAGTAACTTCTGGTTTTACTTGAGAACTCAGTGCAGTGTTGATAGGCTGTCAGTTGGCCACGTAATGTGCTATCCTCTAAGAAGGACTTGCTGAAATAGCCTGTTTTTGTACTGCTGTATCTTTCTTGTTAATGTATCAGAAAAACAAGAAAAGCAGTCGCTCTGAGGTTCATTTGAATGGAATAACAGGGTCATTGGAATAGCTTTGCATGAAACTTGTGGGAATTGTTTTGGGCTAACTACCTCTTCCTTTTTCTTCACCAACTTATCTCTCTGTGGTGTAGGAATATCTTACAAAATTAGGTAATACAGAGTGCCATCCAGAACAGTTCCTGAAAAGAAGAGCTGCACTAGATAAATTGTTGATAATTATTCAAAATGAAGACATTGCCAACCTCATCCATAAGGTACTTCACAGAAGTAAATGACTACTGTAGAAAATCAATGTTAAAGTATTGTTAAGAAGAGCTCATTTTTGAATAAGGTTATTTTCTCATTTTTGAATAAGGTTATTTTCTCATAACAAAGCATTTAAAGGAAGACCTATGTTTAGTTGCCTTCTGAAAAACAAAACTGGCTGTGATCATACCTAGTCTTGCTGCATCGTGTGCCCATAATGTCATCTACCTCCAAATACATGTTTTAATGAATATTTATTCTTA